GTGACATTATGGGAACAGCACTGGACAACATAGACGAGCTTCTCCAGATGTCCAGTGGCTGTGGTGAGCAGAACATGGTTCATTTTGCCCCAAACGTCTTTATCACACGATACCTTGAAGAAACAGGACAGCTGACCCCAGAAATCAAACAGAAGGCAATTGGCTACCTAGAAAGTGGTGAGTGAATTCCTGCTTGTTAAGCTGGTGATGTCCACTGCAGTACTTGTATGGAAGAAGCCTCAGCAGAGGCCTGATGCTGAGTAGGATTGCCTGGCATCATGGCAATTTCCGCAGTGTAAATCAGGCTAGTGCATGTCAGTGGCACAAGCAGTACACGGCACCCCTCTGCTAAATTCCTCAGAGATAATGCTCTCTGTAATGATCAGCAGGATTGGTGGGGCAGGTTGGCTCCTGGAGAACAGGACAGGCTCACAGCATCTTCACTACCCCCAGCCTCTTCCTGCAGGATATCAGCAGCAGCTCCTGTACAAGCACACAGACGGCTCATACAGTGCCTTTGGGGAAGGAAGTGAGCCAGGAAACACTTGGTAAGCAATGATATCCACACATAACTGGGGAACAACAGTTTGACCTGGTCAGGCATGAGCTGGCTTGGATTTTGGTCTGGGGAAACTGAGGCAGTCTGAAGGTGTGGAGTTTTGAAAAGAAATTGCTCCCGAGGCATTTTGGAAGGTGTCGTGGCTTAAGCCCAGGTAGAAATTAAGCACCACACAGCTGTTTGCTCAACACCATCCTCATGCCAAATCCAAAACATGGCACTGTAACAGCTACTGAGAAGAAATTAACTCCACTCTAGCTGAAATCAGAGCAATATCCATCTCTTACTCCATAACATTTATGTCATGCCAGCTTTGACACTCCCCAGGCCATCACTTTCCCTATTTATCTCTTTTGATAAATATACAAAATCTTCCTCTTCATCTATAGAACACCTCTGTCAAATATGACAATGAACTAACCTGAAGTACCCCTGTTGGATTGTTTGTTCTTGGGCACCTCAAACAAGACTGATTCTGAAAACTTGGCAGCAAAGGTGCCTTCTTTACAGGTTTCAGAATGCTTGGTACCCAAACAGGATTGGGAATGGGTCTGAGTGATCTCACTAAATGTCAGCCCTCCAGGGCAACAGAGCTGTTCCCTTTTGGAATTAGCAGAGCTCTGAAGGCCTGAAAATTTGAATTTTTTCTCTCTTACTGCAACATGGTTCTGATCTCAAGCTTCTTGACCTCATGTGCATTGCTTCCAGTTCTCCATCTGCACAGGGGCTGTGGCCTGCTTGTATTTCTACAAGGAGAATATAGTAGAAGACACAGAGACTCCTGTCTCCTCTTGGAGACATGCATCAAGTGACAATTCAGTTCTATATCTTTCTTTCATCCTTCCTTGGCCTAGGCTTACCGCTCTTGTCCTGAAGACCTTCAGCCAAGCCCGGGACTTCATCCACATAGATGAACAAAATATAAAGGATGCTGCCAGTGCCCTGATTAAAAGTCAGACTCCATCTGGCTGCTTCAAGAGTGTGGGGAAGCTCTTCAACAATGGTCTGATGGTATGACATGTGCTGGTGGTTCATTAGGTACCTCAGAGCTCCTTCACTCTCCGGTCCAGTTTGGGTGCCAAGAACAAATGAACTCTGTTGCAGGAGGAAGGCTCTGAAGTGCCCTTGGGTGACACTCAGGGTTGCCTAGTTACTGTGGCACTTTTTGAATTTATGAGTGATGAAGGTTTGCATTTGATGATGTGCACTTGGGAACTGAAACAGTGCCCTGCCCTACCTCCATCTCAAGGGCTAACACTGGCCACCTTGCAGCAGGGTTGTGGGATCATCACTTTCTCCTGGCATTGAAATCTGCTGAAAATCTTACATTTGGGAGGAGAAAGAGTTTTCCCTCCTCAGCAGGGGGAGGGAATCAGCTACCCAGAGGAGACTGAGGAACCCTGGCAGAGAAGTGCTCTGGTTAACAGGACCTTTAAAAGTAGATACCAGTCCTGTCGTTTCCTTAGGAGAAGGAATAGGACCAGCATTGTTGCCTGTGCTGGCATTTGCTAGGGGACTAGAAGGCACTGGAAAACTTTCCCCTCTCCCTTCTCATAGCATCCCTCTTCTGTGCTTTGTGGTGTCTGCAGGGTGCAGTGGAAGAAGGCCTGGGGCTGAGCTCTGTGATTGTGATAGCTCTCATACACTCAGGGATGCCTCACACCGTGAGTATGTGCAGCAGGAGCACGCTGTGTGTGCAGCCTCCTGCAGGCACTGCCTGGGCTCTGTCTTTGATTTCCACCCTCTTCTGCACACGTGAAATCTGCATTCCCTTCCCAAACACCCTGCCCATAACAAGAGTGCTTTCATTTGTATCCTAGGACCCAGTTGTGGGGAAAGCTCTGAAATGTATAAGGGATCTGGTCCATGCTGATTCTGGCAGTCCCAACCTCTACAGCCTGGCACTGGCTGCAAACGCCTTTGCAATGGCAGGGGACAAGGCCCTCAGGCAGAAAATCCTCAAAAGATTGGATAAGGCTGCCATAATATCAGGTACCACAGACTCTGGGGCATGAGGGAAGGCCACTGGCAGAACCGTGTGGAAATCCTTGGTTGAACAACCATTGGAATGGAGGGAAGCAGTAGGGAGGGTCGGTACTGCCTGAGCTTTGTGGGGAATCCAAGGCTTGTCTATCCAAGCCTCAGTTTGCCAAGCTGTCCCAGGTTATATCCTCACTGTGAGACAGATTGTCCCTATGGATCATCTCACGTCCTGACCTCCCCATGACCCAAATCAGGGGAGCTTCACGGACATTGTGAAGCTGCTCCCCAACCTGCAGGTCCAAGGTTTTGCTGGGAAAAGCAGGCTGTGGGGAGCAAACAGGGAGCTATGCATGTGTATCTTGTCCAAGTGTATTATGCCCAATGTACATGTTTGTTTAATACTTATATACAGGGGCTAAGTAGAACTCCAGTGTCACTAGATACAGCTACACACTCCGTAAATGTTCCCACTCCACCTCTAGATGACCAAATATTCTGGAGTCAACAGTCCAAACAGGAAGAAGATTCCCTATCTTGGTATCGGGCTCCATCTGTTGATGTGGAATTGACATCTAGTATCCTCATGGCTCACCTTACAAAATCAAGTTTGTCGTCAGATGAAATCAAAAAGGCATCCAAAATTGTGTCTTGGCTCACCAAGCAGCAAAACCCATATGGAGGCTTTGCTTCAACCCAGGTAATCCCCTTGAGCCGCCATCATCATCATCATCATCATCATCATCATCATCATCATCATCATCATCATCATCATCATCATCAGATTTGATGCTAGTTTTTTGAGAGCAGTGGGTTCTAACAGCCCATAGTAAAAAAAAAAAAAAAAAGAATAATTAAAAAAGGCTGTATAGATTTACAAGTCCTGGGAGTTATGGATAAACCTATGCTAAAAGCCAGAGGAAAAAGCTCAACCCTTATTGTGCTATAGCGGCAGTACGAGGGAGGAAAAGGCTATGGGCTGGGCATGCATAGGAAGCAGAAATCCCACTTTTCCTGATGTTTTTCTCTTTCCTCAGGACACAGTTGCTGCTCTGGAAGCCCTAGCCCTGTATGCAACCAACATCTTCAGCAAGGATAGCCCTGATCTTCAGGTTTCTCTCACTTCCAAGGGGTTCAGCCAAAACTTCCGAGTAGACAAAAGCAATCGCCTCCTGCTGCAGACAGTGGAGCTACCAGCCATTCCCCAAGATTATACCCTGCGTGTGCAGGGACATGGGTGTCTTTTCCTGCAGGTAAGCCCAGCCAGGAAGAAGAAGTCTGTCTGGTGAAAAGCCTTGAAAGCCAGAGAACATCTTACCTTGCTACTTCGCCAACAGTGAAAACAGTTGTAGTAACTTACAAGAATCTGGGCTTCAAGGTTAGTTGGGGTAACTGTGATCCAACAGGATGGTAACATCTATTCCCCAGATGAAATCTGGATCATCTCCATCCAGCCAGAGCAGCTCCTCTGCTCTAAGAAATCCACCAGGAGCAGTGCACTACTAGCAGAACCTCTGCTTCTGCCACATGATTTTCTCTTACACCAATACAAGACAGCAAACAGTAGCTGAGTCTAGACAAGAATACTCTCCAGCAAAAAAACCCCTGCTGTTCTCTGCCATCCAGCTTCTTTCTGTCCTGGCAGGCCATCCTGAGGTACCACATCCCTCCCCTGAGGAGCGAGGCCACCTTTGCCGTATCCGTGCAGACGGAGTGCACCGTGCCCGACGCCACCCGGTTCCCTGTCACCATTCATGCCCGGTAGGAGACACTCAGTTGCCCCTTTCCTCCCCTGTGCTGAGATGCTTCTGGCACCACACCAGGCTCTTGATGGCAGGGTTCCCCTGTGCTCGTGGGGTGCAAGTGCTGAGGTGACCACGCCGTGCTCTCCCCAGCGGGGTGAGAGGCACAAGACCCCAGAGGGGTGGCTCAGACTGTACTCCTGTCTTGTCTCCTGCTCCTCACCACAAATTCTCCCAAGGTCTGTGGGTCTCACCCCTCTCTGGGATTAGGTCTCAAAACACTAATGATGTGAAGGTCCTGTGGGACTGCCACATACTCCTAAGTGTTCCCTCCTCTGCTCCTGTTTGACTGTCACACCACTCTCCTCTGCTGTACACCCACCTGGCTTGGGACAGAACTGCCAAGAGAACAGGCATAGGATATGATATTCCCTGCCATGCTAAAGAAGGTAATACCAGAAGGCTTCCAAGGAACTTATTGTCCTTGGCACAATTAAAAGTGAGATCAAGGGAAGCACAAAGATTTATTACAGTGCAGAAACAGGTATGCTTACAGGAGAAACATGGAAAGAAAGGCACATTCCTCCACCTGAGTACCAAAGCTGGGCTGGAGTATCTGCAGATCATGGCTCAGAAAGTAACATTAGTGCTGTCCCCTGGGTTCCTGCTGCAGCTACACAGGGAACCGTGTGTCCACCAACATGGTCCTGATCCAAGTGGAGCTGCTGTCTGGATACAGCCCCGTGGCAGGTTCACTGGAAGAGGTGAGACCGTGAATTTGTGTCCAGCTGGGATGGGAACAGTGATGGATGTCCATTATACAGGACTGTATGCTGAAATGTGATCATTCCTGTGGGCAGAGAAACAGGGTTATTTTCTTCCTAAGACATCCTTATACTCAAAGTCTCTTCCAAGCTGCACCTTGCCTTCTACATCAACAGCTTCCCTGGCTGTATAAATATTTGCCTGTACTCTCACAAGGACAAACACCCTTGAATATTTCTGCTTTTTATTACAGCCTTTCTGATATTTTCCCCCTATTTGCAGCTAAAGAAAATGCCTTTAGTGAAGAAAGTTGAAAGCAAAGCTGACCAAGTTGTTCTCTACCTGGAGGAAGTGAGTGTAATTTGGGCTAACATCATCATTAAAGGGGCTATGGACTGACAGCTTTTATTCTTGTTTACTGGAGTGTTGTTCTTGCATACCAGACACATTTGCTGATCTGGAGAAGTGTCAGTTTGCAGTTGTTCATCTGTAGAGCCACTTAAAGGGCTACTTAGCTTGAGCAAAACAAGGCAAACTCTCATGTTAAGCCTACATCTGTTGGCACTGTTCAGAGACTATTGAAAGTCCATATATATGGTGCCTGAGTAGGACTGGGGAGTAGTAATAAGATCAATCTAATAAATCCAAGCAAGCCTGAAATCTTAGAAAGCTCTTAAGCAACCTGAATGCAGCAGAGAGCACGCAAGATTGCTCATGGATTTTGCCAAGATCGTTTGAAACTAAACCAGATGGTTGTGTGAACAGAAGTGCTCAATTCCACAGCCTCATGAATCAACAGATTAACAACCACTCCAGCCTTTTTCTAGCTCCATGAATACCTAAACAGCACCAGAAATGAGACCTGGAGTGTATTTAAAACTCCAGCATTTCTAAGGAGCATTTCTGTGATCCTTCATCCTCAGTTTCTATCAGTAGGCTGAGCTAAGCCGGCCCCATAGGAAGTGGGTTAGTGTCACATGGATGCTTTAGACTTGCAGAACTGCTGCATTCATTACATCTACAGCACAGAGCAGAAAATACAGAGAAATATTTCACCTCATGCTGCCAGGTAACACAAGTTGCACCTCAATCAACAGCAGGTGATGTAACTACTACCCTACAGCAGATGTTCATCCACAGCTTGTACTTGTCTGCTTAATGATGAGGGTTATATGAGACTGGAGAATAAGAGCTGATGTCACTGTGGATAAGAAAGTAGCCACTGAGGCAAGGTGCATGAAGGAGCTCAGGGTGGAGCTGGATGGGAAGGTGGGATTGGTGGGGGAACACTAGCATGCCATTTAGGTAGTGCACACTGACTCTGTAGGTTTTTGATATTCCTTATGAGCTGAGTTAAATTCGGTGACCAAAAAGGGGAGACAGTCACAGAATGGGAAGTAAAAGGTATTTCTGAGATGGACTAGAAAGCAGAACAGATCTATTACAGTGGTGAGGTCTCTACAGAGCCTGAGTGCAAGTAGGTGAGAGGGGTTGTCTTAAAGGACTTTTCTGTCCTTTTCTGTTTTTAATCCTTGCATTTCTTGGTCTTAGCTGACTAGACAGCCTCAAACCTACACTTTCCTGGTGGAGCAGGACATGCAAGTGAAGGATCATAAACCAGCCAATATCAAGATCTATGATTACTATATGCCAGGTGAGCTCAGATTCTGTACTACAAAAACCACCCAAATGTACTTCTGGAAAGAAAATTTCTGAATTTTGTTGAGTCTAACACAATACCATCTCTGACATGGTTATCTGACTGTCCCTTAGAAGCTCTCTAGGTATGAGCTTCACCTGTTGGTTTTCAAAATGGTAGGTCCTCCTCCCTCTGGCTCCAGAATTTGCAGGCCTGAAGCTGGTGTGTAGAACCACTGGGGGTCTGGCTCTCCCCACAAGAGTGGAGCAATGAGCTGTGCTTTTGAGCACTTAGTGGGAGACAGAAAAGGCAGAGGGACCATAGTGGGGGGATGACTCAGAAGAGTAAAGGCCCCTTAGAAGAATAACACAAAAACCAACTTGTCCTCTGTTCTGTGGGGTTCCTAGTAGAAAGAAAAGCTCAAAATGTATCAGGGATTGCTATTCCTTGAGAGAGTGTGGAATTCTTAACTGTGATGGAGCTCTTTGGGACTTGCAACTTCATGCCTCAGGTGAATCCTCAGCTGCAGAGTCACAGGCACGCACCTGTGGTTTCATGTGTCACATAGAGGGGAGTTGTAGCCTGTAAACAGAGGGAACACCTCTCCTAGGAACAGTGGCAGAATGCTGGATTGCTTTCAAGGGTTTTTGACAATGTGTCTCACCAGCACTTTCTTTCTTATCTTTCAGAAGAAACTGCAGTGATGAGCTACAGTGTCCCATGCAAGTGAGGTGAGTGCTCAACACCTCTTTTGTTATCACAGGCATGGTCCTGAAGAATAGGGAAGGGGAGGGAGATGCAGGAAAAGGCCCTTGGTCAAGAAACTTGCCAGACTGCAGGTCCGGGGTAGAAAGCAATTGGCAATGACAAGTAAGGGTGAGTTCCTGTACCCCAGCAGTTAAACTGAGAGAAAGAGAACTGAAGTAGAAGATTTGATGTAACAAGATCATGACAAAGCTGGAGATATGTTCCAGAAAACAAGGACTGCATGTACCAAGTACTATCACTAGTCCTGGCCCTTTGCATCAAATACACTTTTTTCAAGTTACCACAGTTCCCTTCCCTGCCACTTTCTCTGTAGTTTCACATTCCTCCAGCCCTGTGCACACAACGTGGCATGCTCACCTTTACTGCAGGGCCTTGCCACATTTCAGTGCCAAGCCTTTCTCCATCTCAGCCTAGCTTCTGATCCATATCAGGGAATGGACACCTGCCCATCCTCTTTCCAGGGTGAGCAAACACAAAGCTTAAGCTTGACCACTGCCTGCCCCTGATAAACTTTCCTTGCACCTGTGTGCTTTCCTGCCCACAAGACAGGGAAACCCACCTGCTCCATGAATCATGGGTAGGGAGGCACACAGCCCTGTCCTGGGATGTCTGCCACAAGCTCCACAACCTTACCTTACATAAGCTTTGTATAGATAAAGTGAGAGAGAATCTTAGGTCATAAAATCTTCTGAGTTGGAAGGGACCCACAAGGATCATGGAGTCCAGCTCCTGTCCCTGCACAGGACAGCCCCAAGAGTCACACCATGTGCCTGACAGCATTCTCCAAACACTTCTTGAACTCCATCAGTTTTGGTGCTGTGACACTTCCTGGGAAAACCCATTCCAGTGCCCAACCACCCTCTGGGTGTTGGCCTGACAGTGCCATTTGGTCACAAGGTGCAAAAAAGTCCCCTAAGTTCCCAGTGGTTTGTTTTAATACTTCAGGAACTTTTTTTTTGTCCTTTATTGTCTTCACAGGAACAGGGATAGATCCCTCCCCTGCAGTCTCTCCCATCAGTCCTTTGTCACCCCTGCCAACTGTCACCACATGGAGATATGAAGAAAAGAGAAAATGCTTGGAATTTCCTGCTGAGCAGTTAGTTTCTGGAAGGCTCAGACTGTGTGTGGCATCTTATTAAAAGTAGAAGACTAGAACTGTCTGATTGAATGATTATTCAGGTTTGCTGTTTTTCTCCCAAATCAGGAAAATTGCATTTAAGAGCAGCTGGGAAAATTAAATTCTCTACCTCTGCTCATGTACAAAACTCTGCCTCTCCAGGTGCAGACATGCACAAGAGTAGATAGAGTATTTAAAAAAGATCCATAGACCTAGAAACAGATACTTCCTGTTTCTAGCTGGGTACATGTTCCCCACTGCTTACCATTCCCCTTCCTGTCTTTGCTTATATTCCATGTTTCCTGCCCAAGACCCACCATTTCCTGATGCCACTGTTGGTGTCACATGGGAACTTGCTGCCTACCTCAACTACAGACAGCGCTGTATTCAGCCAAGGCTCGCTCCTCTGCAAAAGGAAATGAGGAAATTAGGAAGGTGATTACACATGGATGCATACAGAGAAGACTGCATGTCTCTTCCCAGCCAGAGAATCAGGAACCCTGCTCCCCACCCCCAAACAATAGGAAATCTGCAACCCACCTGGCTGGTAGTAATCATAGATTTTGATGCCAGCTGGTTTCAGGTTCTTCACCTGAATTACTTGTTCCAGTTGCAGAATGAAAGTCTGAGATTCGTCATTGAGCTAGTGGAGATAGAAGAAAATTAGCAAGGAAGGGGAGAAAGAAGTGACAGCATCTTCATCTTTCCTGATTTGAATGTTTTCCTGCACTACATTACTCTAATCCATTAGAGATTCTGGACTTTAAAATGGAGTATTGTGTGAGGAATAGTACTATTCTAATCCAATGACAAGGAAATTGAGCAAACTTCCTCTGCCCCCAATTCTACCAGTGCTCTTTTCTTACGTAGACCAGCCTCAGGCTTCTTACACAGCTCCTTGTCCTCTGACCTTTTGCTCTCACTGTGCCACACTGAATGCTTTTGTTCTCACTTACCTTCTCCAGATAAATGTAGACCACATTAGCTTTCACTTCTATTTTCTTAACAATGGTTCTGTTCTCCAGCTAGGATAGGAAACAATAATGGAATGAAATTTGTGAGCATTTTTCTTAGGGATTCCTGACCCGAGGGAGCCAGTGTTTCAGTGCAGGGAAGGTATAGAGCTGGACTCTGTGTGGAACTGTGCATTTTTCAGTGGAAAATGCTAGTCCCTCTTGGACATCCCTTGTGAGCATCTCATGTGTGAACCACACTGACCCTGCCCAGGGCAGAGGAATCTCCCCCTCTGGGGACCAAAGACTGTGTGGGTAGTATGTATGACTGATATGCTGGTGAGCAAATGGGTGCAGGCACCAGTAGAGATTCTTATTTCATCTCACTGAGTGTTCAACTGCTTTTAAAGACTTGCATGCAGGCTGTGATTTAATTTATGATTTAATTGGAAAACAAACGAATCTTTTTAGCTAGAGCTAGAGTATCTCTGATAAATCCTGTCTTTGACTTTCTGATGAACAAATCCTGGGGTCAGCACACCCAGCAGTACACTTTGTTCCTGGTCCAAGTCCAAATACTGCCAGTGGGAGAAACAGAACCACCTCTGATTTTCCTTGTGGGGGCTGTAGGAAAACAAGCAGTTTTGGTGCAATTGCAACAGCAAATTTAGCTACCACCTGGCCTGAAATGAACAATTCTCAACAGGAGTAAGCAAGCAGGATCCATTTACCACAGCTGGGGTTTTTATTCCAAAGTTCTTACCAGCACTCTGGATCTGGAAGTCATGATGAATCCAGATAGCAGGGAGACCTCTATGATCACCATGTTGGATGTGACTCTGCTCCCAATGTAGCTGGAAAAGAAAAAACAGACAGAGCGTCTGACTCTGTGAGGACAGTGCCGTCCCAGCTCCTCTTCCCTCCACCACCACGCCCTGAGCCAGGTGTCCCATCTGGGACTGGGGGCATAGCAGCCACTGCTCCCTCTCACAGGAGTCAGCCAGCACCTTCCCACTCCTAGCCATCCACCTGTCCAATTCACCCTCTGTCCTGTTCACCCCAAGGGCCAGGTCTCTCCATCAGAGCCCCCAGACCTTCCTGGCTGCTGTCCCCGGGCTCACTCCATCTTGCTGGAGGAGGAAGCAGCCCTTGGAGTCACCTGGTGAGGATGCGGACGGTGAGGACGCGCGGATTCGCCTGGCTGCAGTTGTTCAGCTCTGTGCTGACACGCAGCGTGAAGATCACAGGAGTCCCTGGGGAGCGCTTGTGGTACCTCAGCACCGTCTGCAGGGTAAGGGCCAGGAGCAGAAAACACAGGCCAGGCATGATCTCACGCAGGAGAAAAGAGGCACAGTCCTCCCCTCTCTACGCTCATCCCGTCTCCTGACCTGAGTGAAGATGCAGCTGCTGCCGTGGGCCTGCAGCAGGAACTGCCCCGGGATCTCCACCAGCGCTGCCTGCTGCACCAGCAGCCGCTGCTGGCGGCTGACCTGGAATGCCTTCCCGAAGGCCCTCTGGGACCTCACCCTCACCACTGCCTGGCCTGATGTGCTGAACGTCCTCGCTGCGTATTTCGCTAAGGCTTGCAAGGCAACAGCTGTGTCCTAGAGAGGGAGAGACAGGCGCTCCTCTGAAAGCATCAGCCGCAATGGAGCTGGCTTGGAACAGGAATTCCTCAAGAGGACTTGTGCTGCCAACCTGGGCCACAAAAGGATCCACAGGGAGCTGCTGGTTACCTGGGTGGAGGCAAAACCCCCGTAGGCATTCTGCTGCCGCATCAGCCACGCCACAATGCCAGCTGCAGTTGTCATGTCACCGGCGTGCACCCGTGGCTTGGAGAGGTACGCCAGGAGCACATAGGCTGTCAGCTCTATGTCCACTGACTGAGTGCCAGGCCGGAAGTCTGTGTAAGATGGAGAGCTTGGCTTGGGGCTCCAGTGGATTTGTCCTCCTGCAGAAGGAAAAGGATTATGAAGGCTATTTAGGGAGGACATAATTTGGGTTTCAGAGGAAACAAACCCCACAGTGCTTTCAGGGCTCCTTCAGTACATTCCCTGTACTCAGGCCAGGATTGCTTTCTTGAATTTATTCTCCAAGGTTTCACTTTGTTTTAGCTGATAGACTCCTTCCTCCTCCCTCAAAGGGATCTTGAAATCCTCCAGTCTGAGGAAACTATTTCTAAGTCACTCTCACAGTTTGTGAAATACCTTACTGTACTTTAAGTCACACAATGCAGTTACTGCACAAATACAAGGAGCATCTATAAATACATATATAATTCTCTACTGCTGTAGCTGGGCACACTTTGGTCCAGAATCCCAGCAGGCAGCACCTGATTTGATGGCTTGTTCCTCCAGTTTGTACAGCAGCTCCTGGGTTGTCTCATAGTCCCCAGCCAGGGCAAAGGCATAGGCCAGCAAGGCTTCTGTGTAGATGTTGGTGATGTTGTGAACCACCTTCTGCAGGCAGCGGAGAGTAGTCTGCATCAGCTTGCCCTGTGTTGGGAGGAGACACGTGCCAAACTCTGACAGGGGTGAAAGAGGGGCTGGGGAACTCATTCTAGGGAGCCACACGTCTTCCCAACATAGCTCCAGAGAAAGCCATTAATTTACAGACTCTTCAGAAAACAGGCAGTACAGCCCTGGTGTGCACTGGGAGCCACTGCCACTACTGCATCAGGCCAGTTTCACAAGGCTGGCTCTTTTGAGGAATGACTTCATCATTTGACCAAACATGGACTCATTCCCAGAAGTTCCCTCCTAGTTCATGGCCTGGAGAAGACCAGAATCACAAGCTGGCATACCTCCGTTGTGTTTCCCAGGAGAGCAGGAGGGAGCAGGAGGGAGCTGGGTGTGCTCACCTGCAGTGGCAGACCCATCTCCAGCAGTGCTGCAGCGACATAGGCCCCCAGAGAGACTTCATCATCCATGCTGCCCTGCAAGGGGAACACATCTTTCTACTCTTACAGGGTGTTAGGAGGGTCCACTCCTCAGAAGGAAAAGCATTCCTCTCATGTTTTCCCTCTCTTTAGAGCTTGCACAGGTTGCAGAATGACTTTCTAGGATCCTTTGGGATCCCACAATCTTCTGCTGTCACAAATCTCTCCAGTCATTCCCCAGCAGAGCTACCTGCCCTTGCCCACCATTACCTTTAGGGAGGAGTGAAAAAAGTTCCCTTTGGTGGCAAAGCAGCCACTGGGGAGCTGGTTTTGCTCTAGCCAGCGTAGGGCATCCTGGATGTTCTTGTCATCTATATAGATGTATTTTCTGGCTTGGCCAAAATTCTTGAGTACAAAAGCTGTCAACCTAGGAAGAGGATGAGTTGTAAGAAAAAGAGGCAAACAAAAAAAAGGCAGAGACAGTCAGAGGTCTCCTTGTGCTTGTCCCTGAACTAGTGACATAGTGGGGGTGCAAAAAAAGAGTAATTTTCATAAAGAAAGTCAACCTAAAAGTGGAAATGGTTCACAGGACCCACCCCAGTGGCTTGTCTCCCTGCCCCTGTCTGCACAGATATAATACTTATGTACTACTTAGTGATGTACTCCATAATTTCACAGGTGAAAACCCTCCTACTCTTTCTACTTTCACTGTTCCACTTTACCTCCCCCAAATTACTAGAGACAATCTGGAATTCCCCAGTTTCTTCCTCCCTTCCTTTCACCATTCATCTTAACCAAGCACCATAGGTGTAAGTTGTGCCAAGGCAGCTCCTCTCCACTCACTGAGGAGAGGATTTTTATTGCTCTCACCTGATTTTTCTCTAGACATGGGTACCCCTTTTGGCTGCCAGGTCACCAGCAGTATGACCTGGTGTTGTCTGTGGGCCAACAGCAGGGGCATAGAGACAAAAAAAAAGACATTTCATTCCCTGGAACCACATATTTGCTGTTCCACTTTCCCAGAAACTCTGCTGCCCTGCCTGACTGCTTTTTCAAGTGGCTCAAGTGCCTCAGACTCTCCCTGTCAGAGAGTTCCTTCTGTCTCCATCCCAAAAAAAGGAACATCTTGTCAGCTTTCTCAGATCCATTAGGTTCTCTGACCCAGACAGGAAAAATAAGTGAGGGATGTTTGCGGTGCTTACCAAGTGTTTCCTTCTCCATCCTTCGGCCCAAAGAAGCTGTAGGAGCCATCTCTGTGCTTGTAAAGAAGTTGTGTCTGATACCCTGGGGAGATGGGAACAGTGATTAATATGGCACAGCAACACAGAGGGGACAGTGCTGACAGAGGGGGTGCAAGGGCAGGAGTTACTGGCATGTTGGGCACAGGGGATTTTTTTTCCCTAGACCCTCTTTAAATGCCATCAGTAAAGGCTTTATGTCCTTCTGAACAAGACACTGCCCAAGCATTCCAGCTCTGTACACTCATGGTGATTTGGTCTGGAAGTTTACTCTTGTTCCTTAAATCTGTGTACACTTCAGTTCTGCACCTCAAAGTCTACTAGTTTGACACATTACAGAGGCAGGGAAGAGCCCCATAATTTGCATTCAGGGTTCTCTTTGCACCTCTTTTACACAAACTCAAGGCAGCCAAGTCCCTATAGCAAAGGGTCATCCTTCTGTCGACTTGTAAAGTCAGGAATCACTTACCCAACAGAGTACACATTCCAGAGCCAAGTCTCAGGGAAATAGTGGTGAGATCTTCTGTGAGTTGTAAATTGGGGTTGTTCCTCATTGATTCTTTGGTCTTCTGTAGAAGGCACCCCTGAAGGAAAGAGTAAGGAGTCCCACCAGAGTGGGAGAGATGAGTCCTGCCAGCCATAGACAGTAGTGAGGCTGGAGGAAAAGCAAGCAGTAAGAGAGACATAGGAGGGTCTGGCAGAGGAAAGCACAAGGGGCTGGACTAATTTCATGGGAGAGATTAGAAATAAAGGGAAAAGAGAGTGATAGCAGGAGAAGCAGTTTGCAGTCAGCTGATTGCAAGGTTTCCAAGACTTGGTTAGACAAAGCCCTTTCCTGACCTGACCCAGAGATTTGCATAAGAGACTGAGAACCTCCAGAGGGCCATTTTAACCAACACTTGTATAATTCTGTGAGTAATAGAACTGTTTGCTTGCTGTACAAAGCTCACATTCCACAGCAAGCTATGGTTTAAATATAGGCAGGCATGTGAGCCAGCTTAGTACAGTTATCGAGTGCAAACTGAGACACAGAGGAAGAACATGAGGCTGTCTCTGTGGCTACAAATGGGGACAGAAGCTGGGTCTCAGTACAGCCTGAAGAATGGGAAGAGACACTGGGAAACAGATCCTGAGCCCTGCTTGGGTTTGTCTGTAAGGAAAGGGAGTGTCATCCTTTAATGTCAGGGAACATCTAGGTAGTAACATTCTTTTTTATGGGGACTGGGTCACTCCTACTGAGTCTGGTGGACTGTGGCAGCGGCACCCAGTACTCCTAGGAGAGACAATATCCACCACCAACAAACCCCAAAGATCTCAGGTAGGCTCAAAATGCAGCTCACCTATGATTGGCTTCCTATCCATCCGACGAGAGCATTGAGAGGGCTTCTTAATTACAAGGTTTGAGAAGACTTTCAGTCCCATGTTCTGTTAGGAAAAGAGGGAGGGCAGGGGAGGCAGAAAAGCATTTGTGAGTGGGGAAGACTGACTTCTGCTCTTCAAATTACTCTGGAAACCATGGGGGTCAGGACAACCCAGTGCCCAGGCAGCCCAGAGGAGCACTGGCCTGAGCAGACATAGTGCTGAGGGAGACATGGAGGAGATCTGCCCTAAAGACACCAAGAGGTCTGCTTGGGACCTGCCCAAAATAGTGGCAAAGAGCAGCTAACAACTGAGCCATGGCAACAACCTATGATCTAATGCTTGGGATCGCTCCCTGTCTCTCTTTTCCCTAATACTGTAGACACAGCCCAGTAACTCATTCTTCATTCCCATTCAAGTCAAAAAAAATGGAGTTTGGTCCAAGATTTCATCACCTTGCTTTATGCACATGAGGAGGGAAAGAAATACAAGTATTCCTACTCAATGGGGTGTACATCTTTTGAGACAACACAGTTCAGTCAGGGCAGACAGCAGGGTCTGTCTGGAGGAGGAAAAGCCCTCTCAAACTGCTTGGGGAGAAAATACCTCTGATGCTCATAATTGCAACAGCTCTGGGAAACATCATGAGGCAATTACCCGGAAGAGGTTGAAGATGTCAGGCTGAAAGGACTGTTGTGGCCTTCCTCGTAGCAGAGATGACAAGGACTGAGGCTGCACACAGCGATCTGAATGCTCTTCTACTTGGGCAGGGTATCCACGTTGGTAGGCAGCAGGGAACAAACCATAGACCTAGGCAAACTCACAGGCAGGGAAGGATTGGGCAAGGAGCAGATACCTCCAGATGCTTCACTCCATCCTCCCCTAGCATGCACATCAGTTCCTGTCCTTCTTCCTAGGCAGGCTCTGCTTTCTCCTTCACACAGAGACCTCCTCATTCATTGGCCTCCAGCTCCCCTTGCTACAGCCCCTGCCTGACTCTCACAGCTCATCCATCACTCCCAAGGTTTTGCCTGGTTGCACAGACACTCACCATTTGGCTGGTGAGCTCACGGTCTGGTCTGGTGAAGAACATGTTTTCATCCACTGCCTGGACTGCACACAAGGAGCCGGGTGCTGCCTGCAGCTGGAGCTGCACTGCTGACCCTGCATGGGCTTCTTTACCTGGGAATCGTACCTTGACCTGGAGCAACACACCAGGAAAGGAATGTGAAAAAGAAGGAGGTGCAAGGAGGATGACAGACAGATGGCACAGACAGAAAGAGGAAGACTAGCTGGGATCTCCCCTGCTCAGCCATGGCTATCAGAAGTCATCACTGTTGAAGCTTTCCTGGTCCCTGGGCACTGTGCTGCAGATTCCCCTTCCATCTCCTCTGCCCAGTTCTCTCTTGGAAGGATCTGAGGGTCTCCTGCTCTCAAGCCTCATGACTCCTGCCCATCAGCTCTCCCCCAGCCAGAAGTGAGTCTCACCTGGTTTTGGAAGCACAAGGCAACATCCAAACGGATGCTGTCAGCTGTGACCCCTCCGTTGGGGAAGATGGCGTACACCACCAAGGAAGGTGATGGGGACAAGTCGGCAGTGAAGGTCAAAGGGATGGAGAACGAGCCCTTCAACACTGAAAAAAAGAAAGACAGAATATTTTCATCATAGGTCCCCCAACACCTCCTTCTGCCCTTCTTCTTTTTGTGCTATATAATCTCAAAGTGTCAAACAAATTCGTGCTGCTGCACTCTGCCCTCTCTCTCCATTCTCTGACCCTATGTATTCATCTTCCCCTATATCGTCCCATCATTGTTTCATTCTGTCTTTTTGTCCTCTTCCAGCTGACACAACTGCTTCCTCAGCCTCCCTCTGTCCTGTTTGCTGACTGCTCCAGACCTATACATTAAGGGAATTTGGGAGAAACTCTGGCAATTCTCATGTCCACCCTAGAAACCAACTGTTTCCACTTCTCTGCCACGACTTACTGTTCAGTTTCCCAATCTGGATATTCCTCTGGCCCCTGACAACAATTCCAGACTTGCCAGTGACCTGCAGGAGGAGGGACATGGGATGAGTAGACTGCTGTTTGCCACCAGAGTGCATCCATACTTACCTATGTGCATCTTGCTCTCAAAAGTAAAAGAAAGCCCCCAAAATTAACTGTGGGCTCAATCCAATCCCAGACCTGGAGATTTGCAGACATCACAGCTGGGAGAAGAGGCTGTAGCACAGGAGTCTCTGGTCTAGTCTGTTCAGTGAGGACAATGGATGGGTAGTGGGTTCACTGCAGATTGGTGAGTGATAATTAAGGGTTTCTCCTCTAGCAGGCTGGCCTCCAGAACAGACCAAAATCCATTTCTACTGAGCAGCTGTTTGATAACCAGAGTGAAAAAGGGATACCCAGCCAGTATCCTCAAAGGGAGAAGAAACTTCCAGCTGCAGCCTTGGCAGAGGCTAAGGGGGTGATGGGCTACAAAGACAGAAATCTCCTCCTATCCTTGGAGGTGACTGCAGCCCCAGCACCAGGATCACGGTGGGGCCAGGCTGAGCCCCACCAGATGTAGCATTCACCCAGTCCCCTGAGAACGAGGTTTAGCTGTCATCCCTCCAGGGATGACCTAAATTATATCCTCAGCTTTTCATTGAGGACTGGTCCTGTCAGTGCAGCCTCTCCCCCCAGGTTGTCTGCTACTGTTACTCACATAATATACAAAACTTATACGGCTGGTGTCTTCTCCCAGGTCATCCCTGCTGAGTGTGAAGGTCACCTGGACATTCTGCTTCAGGCCACAAGGCAGTGTTTCTGTGGGTGAGTGTATGTCAAGGAAGCTCTTGGTTGTGACATGGAAGGGCTGCAGGTGATGGTAAGCATTCGTGTAAGTGAAGTCAGGCCTTCGAGGAGTGCGCATGAACTCCTCCAGTGTGAACTTCCCCTGGAATAGCACAGAGACACACAGAAATGAAGAGTTTCGTGCTTCAGTGCTTCCTTAGGCTGTCATCAGCTTGGTTTGGGAAAGGCTGGTGCCTTCCAGCTGGCTCTGTGCAGAGCTGTGTGGTGAGCCCCAGCCTGAGCTGGCAGGGGGGCTGCAGGGCAGGAGCAGGGAGCACAGGTAGAGCTCAAGGATTCTCACTTTCCCATATGCAGAAATGGTGTTTACCTCCAGAGAGACTGATGAGCTGTTCCAGGCAGTAGTGTCGAGGTTGAAAGATGCTATTCCGCTGTCATCTGTGATGTAGGTTTTGATAAAGCGACGCCTCATGAACCTTATCACAAGATAAACTTTCCTGTTCTTCATACCAGTTCCATAGTGATCCTGAACCTTAATCTGGTGACAACAGGGTGAGGCAGGAAAGTCAAAGTCAGATATTTCTTCCAATGTCATACCCAAGACCTTCCTGTCTCTGACAAGCATAGACCTTCCTGTGTAGGTCACCCACAGCCTTCAGTATGGCCCCAGGAAGACAGGAAAATTGCACAACTCCCTCATCTCTAACACAAAGCTGAGCATGGTTCAAATCTGTCTGCTCTAAAAAGTGTGTGTGGCTAGAACATGAGGAGTTTCTCTCCTAGCCTACAGCTGAGACGTCCTTGCACCCCAGCATCCCTGCTGAGACACCACTCATTGCTCTCAGCAGATGCTGGAAGTGTAAACGCAACAAGGAACCTGAAATGCAGCAACTGTAGCTACACTGTGAAGAAATGAGAAACAGTGCAAGGTGTGCTCTTGCTCCTCTGTCTGAGGAGCAAGAAATGCTTTAGGTCAGCTAGATTTACCAGATGCCATATTCCTTGGCAAATGACAGGGAGCAAAAAAGCAAGGGAAGAAAATCACCTTCCCCCTGTACGGTACTCCAGGGATGTAATATTCATTGGGTGTCTCAAATACTGCCCTTGCAGCTGTCCTGGAGATGAGGATTTGGCTGGAGGTGTTGATCTGCACCCCTGTTGGAATGCAGAGTGCAAAGGAAGCAGGATCAGTACCAGAGGTTACTACTGCACTGTAGTTTAATCTCACTTTGTTATTCCCAACCCCTTTTAGCAGTGTCTGTAACTTCCTTCTGAAAACCAGCATTCTTCAAGGTTTGGAGGCTGCTCCTGTGGCAGCTCCTTCTTTAGTTAAGCTGTCTGCAAGACTCTTTGTACCCTCATGGACCCATACCACTCATTCAGCTCCCAGCCACTCCTCATCCTCCTGCTGCTGGCAGTGTAGATCTCCATATCCTGTGATGATCCCAGCAGCAGGTAGAGGAGAGGGGGATGTGTGCCCTCTCTAATCCTCAAACCCCAGGATGGTTCCTCTCACCCCTGTACTTTCCCTGCTGAGCCCCTTGGTACCTGTGCCCATCTCCAGGAGAGAGGCTTCTGCATAAAGTTTGTTGTCTTCCTCGCTGGGAGTCAGATTGAAGACTGATGTGCTGACAGAAGGGGTGAAACACCCATTGCTTGCTGTCTGCAATGGGAATGACAGGTATTATCTGGGGCTGGGGAGAAGGGGAGGGGTCAGAAGTACAAGGGATTAGTCATTCTGTCATAACTATTGACTACAACAAATAACAATGCAGAACTTGTAAAACACTGGAACATGTTCCTCAGGGAAGTGGTGGGTGCTTCATCCCCAGAAACTTTCAAGGCCAGACTGGAGCAGTTCCATTCATTCAAGGTCAGACTGCTCTGAGCAGCTCATTCTGTTCACTCAGCCCCTGACACTGCATCCTCTGTGGTGCTTCTGTACTGTCCATATACCTGAGGATTTTACTCACAGGACCACTGTATTCCCTACAGATGTCCTTGCTGGCATTCTGGGGCCATCTCCTTGCCTTCTGGCACAGGGTCACGTGCACGGTCCCTCGCACTGCTTTCCCAAAACTGTACCTGCAGGGAGAAGACCAGAGGAGCTTCTGGGCAGAGGCGCTGCCTGCTCTGTCTAGCACATCGCTCCACAGAGGTGCCTTTGTGACAAAGGTCTTACTGCAGCTGGCAAGCAGGCAGCCACAAATTAAAATAAAGCACTTTGAGTACTTTGGGAGTGCAATAGCGTGGTCTGCATCCAACAGATGCAGGAACAAAGGAATAGATGCAGAAATGGACAGGAGCAGACCCACACCCTCTGGAGCTCTCCCACTTCTGGGCACTTGCTGTCCTGGAATTGGAGACAGACACAGAGAGTGGACCTGATTTATCTACTCGGTGAAGATATTAGTTTGAGAGGGAAAGCAGCAGAAACGGGTGTCCCTGCAGACAACAAATTGCAGTAATAGAGCCACAGAGGGACCTCAGACTTGCCTCACTATGGGCTTATCTCATTATCGGGGCTCTTGTTTCCATTATCAGACCTGCTCTGCTGATTTAGATGTATAGGTATTTCCTCTGCCTGCTTTGCTGCCTTTTCTTGCTTTGACTCCCCTCTGACTTGCCCTTTGGAGCAATGCTCCTGACAGTATCAGTAAAAAGATGACATCTGTGACCCACCGTGGTGATGTAGAGTAGTGTGTACTATTTACTACTACAGCCTCATATGATCTGATTGTAACAAACCAAATTAATGAGAAATTATGTCAGATAATAGTGGCAAAAGAGACCAAAAGTCTCCAGACAATGCAGCCCCAAATACAAATGAGCTCACCAGATTTTGAGTGCTTTTGAGCTCATTGTCCTCCCTTCTTTGTATTTATACTTTGTGTCAGAGGTTCTGCCCTTCTTCCCACCCTCATCTGCTAATTTTTTTATGATAATCATGTAATTAGAGAAATTTATCTACTGCTTCTAAAAAGGTAGTAAGTTCAGTAGCATGTAGGTAAGAAGGAATGGCATAAACTCCTAAAGAAATGTCAGCTCCTGCTTCTTTAGCTCCAAGTGTCTGTCCCATGACTGGCAAGTGGTTTTCCCACATAAGATCTTTCTGTGCTAGACAGACACATCTTCCAGAGGAGGGTATCTGTTGCCCAGGGCAAGTCTCCCTATAGCTGGATGTTTTCTCTCATGTGTGGCTCAGGTACCTCTTCCCCAAGGAAGAACCCATTAGCTTGACTCGAACTATTTGGGATTCTTCTAAAGGAATGGCTCTGTTTGACCCTTCCTGAGCCACCTCTCTTTGATGGATTGAAAAGACAGGAGACACATGGAAGGAGAGACAGTTTTGATGGAATCTTTCCTTTCCCCTGAACATTCTCCTTACCTGCCACACACTTGCAATGGGAAAGTTTTATCTGAAGCATAAATCTGAGTTGGTCCCTCGAAGAAAACATCAAACTTTTGCAACACTGGAACAAAAACCTCAGAGTTAATCCATCAAGGGCAAAAGACTACCTGGGCACAGGATTACAAAAGGGAAGAGTATGTTCCCATGAAGGAATATGTTTATGAGGTAAAAGCAAGCATTACTTAAAAACAGGGAAACCAAAGAAAGAATCCCCTTTCCCCCCCCACCACCAGCCCTGACAGTCTTGAAGAGGTCTTTAGTGTAATCTCAATCTGCCAGAAGGTACTTTCTCCAGGAATCTCCAGCACAATCTCCCTTGTGATCATTTCTATATTGCCCATAAATTTGTGTTCAGTTGTAGCTCTCAGACAGTAAACCCTACTTTACAATATTTGGCTTTACATTGTTGTACAGACAGGCAAGCAACAAACAAGCAACTTCTTCCATCCCTTTCTTCCTTCTCCTTACCACGCTCCTCCACCTTAAAGGTAGTGGACTGGACTGAGTTGGACTTAAAGGACTGGGCACTGATGGTGTAAGTCCCCAGGGAGAGTTCATCAGCTAAGTGGAAAGAGAGATCTGCAACGCCCTGTTTTGGTCTCACATCCAGCCACTGGCCAATGCGGTTTTGGTTCGGGTCCTGCGGTGCAAGGGAAGCAAAGAAGAGGCAGGCATCAGCAGTGTTGGCTATTCTCTACCCAGAGACCACTGGATTCAAAAGCAAATCAGACATTCCAGAGGCTTTCACAGGTTCCTGCTGGTTTAGCCCAGATGGTGATGCTGGAGCACCAACAGAGGTGAACCCAACCCACCCAGGTTTACTCTGCTCTGCACAGCCACGGAAAAGGTTCTGACATTTAGACTCTCCAGTGTCCAGTAAAGATGAACTATAAAAATTAGCTAAAGTTGGGCCTAAATTCCTGAATGTAGAAATGGATGAAGTCAAATCATTTTTATCATCAAGTCTTGTTAACAAAAAGCATTTGGACAGAGAATGTGGATGCATAGAGCCTAAGAAAAGCAACTTGATCCAGTAAGGCAGCATCCAAGGTACTATCCATACTGAAATACCTTTCCTCATAACACCTGAGGAGTCTGGAACACCCACCTGGATTTCCACCATGGAGTACTGCAAAGCAAACAGACAGCACTTTCACAAACTGGCATGACACAGCAACCTACATACAAATTTCTCTTACCCACCCAGCCCCTGTACTATGACAAACATTATGGTACAAGAGGCTTGATCCTACTGAAATCAGGACAACTGCTTTGAAAGAGCAAGGAATAGTAAAAATCTATGCTATTCTTCAGATTTGCTTTTTGATCCCCTGAATATTTAAGGTGCATTTTGATATGTATTTGACAACAATAAAAGCTAGAGTTTGCTCTAATAAAATGGGGAAGAGTTGGAAGACACTCAAATACCATCATCCCAAGTTAACAAATATTAAATGGCCCCAGTTTTGTAACATATGTCCCAATAATTAGCAAAACTGCATCATCTATAGGAAGAATACTCAGAAAATCTTTCTTTAACATCCCTGGCAGAGGAGGTAAGGCTGAAAGTTACACGTCAATGCTGACTGCAGCTGACAGTAACAGGGAGGGACAAAAGAGGACACATTTCAGCCCTTCTAGGCCCATTAATTCTCTGTTTTTTCTGTTATCACTGCATCTATCATCCAAGGGGCAGTGTTGGTGAAAAGCCTCTAATATGGGATCACAACACATAAAGAGGCAGGAGCAGGGCTTGGGAGAGTAACCAGACTGTAAACATGCAATTGGCATGTAATTCACATTATTCATCATTCTAAGCTTACCAGAGGCAGCTCTGTTTTCACCGAAATTAAAAGAACAGTGCAGGTTAACCTGCTGGTGAACAGCACCCATATTAACTTCAACTCATCTATTTTACAAACTAGATATTATAGCTTCAGTGCTGCAGTGCACTCAAGCCTTTATAATAGCTTTGGCTAAACACAATCTCTTTGAATTTTCATCACAGCATAATTAACAGTTACAATGTTAATTTGTTTGTACTCACACACAGACATCAAACATTTACAGTCAAATATGTACATGAAACAATTGTAGGCATGGAAGAAAATGTATTGTTTATACTTCATTGTCTTATTAATATAAGATACATGCCTTCCCTTTGGGGAGAAGAGACTGTTTGATCCAAGGACCTCACCAATAGCCCAAGAAAGAAGAAATTAAGTCAGCAATAAAGAAGCTGGAAGGATCTCTTCCTTTATTTTAGTCTGGAAGGATTTGGTCCAGCTCCCCTAATGTGTGCCCTTCAGTATTTTAATTGTCATGGCATGAATTCCTGTTGGCTCTCCTTAAATTGCTTGAGGACTGAGGAGTGAAATAGCTATAGCTGCTGGCTGCAGATATAATTGCTTACTGAAGAATGGCACTAGCCTTACAGTTTCCTGGCCACCACATATATAAGTCTCTGGCAACTTCTCACCCTCTTGACACGGGGACAATGAGCTGCTGCCAGCAGCAAGTCAGTATAATTTGGTTATACTGTTTTCTCTCTTCTTTTTATGATCACTTCTGTGTATCCTTCCCCATATTAATTAATTTTTCTTAAAATGTTGCAGCTTGCTCTAGGCTCTCCTGCCACCCTCAGGTGCCACACACTGCACAAATCACTGAGCTTTCCAGAGCTGTGGGAAGTGATCTTCGGGTGGTGATGTCTGTACACAACTTTGTCTGATAATTATGCCCATGGCCAGCAACCCACAGACTGCTCCCCAGAAGCCCTGCCTGCTTTTTTGGCAAGGGCAGGTGCACTCAGGTAACTCAGCTAGCTGGGAGTGCTGGCACACTCCCCAGATACCATCCAACCCTCCCATCAACCAGCAGCCGTCCTATGACAGCAACAGCAGAGCCATCAGCCAACACGAATTGTTGCTCAAATTGGTTTACTCGAGGGTTGGCATTGGCACCCTGGGTGCTGGGACTGTCCCAGCCTCCCTGGCATGGGGTTGGTAGAGGAAGCAGAACCACCTGAAGCCTGGAGACTTCCTTGCCTCCACTTAGACAGGCTTTACCTTGCTGTTAACAGGAACAAAATCTTCAGTGAGCGTCACAATCCTGAATTTCACTGGAGGGACAGAATGGGGTAAAGCACATTACAGACAGAGTGAACGTGGGAACGAACTTGCCCCTCACTTGTCTCACCCCAGAACCACAGTCCCACACCCAGTCCCAGTGGCAGCCCCATGCCTGCCCTGCAGCCCCTCTCACCCTTTGCTCTGCCCCACTCTCCTCTGCTTGCCCCAAACACGTGGCAGCAGCAGAGCTGCTTCACAATTTATGGGTTTTCCCATGGGTTACAGCCAGGGCTATCCTTACATTTCCTTGTCTGCAGTGTAGGCAGACCAGTCCCCCCTGCCCCTGAGCAAGAAGCCCATGTTCAGGTCTGCTCCCTTTTCCAAGCCAACTCTGCTCCTAGATCATGTCAGGCCTCCCCTGCCAGGCCCCTCCTGCTGCCAAAACATGGGATCCCTGACTGCAGCTCTCCCCTCTGTCCCATGGAGGCCACATAGCACAAAGTGCTCAGTGCTCCACTGACAGGAAATTTGGAACAAAGCCTGGGAGGGTCGAGGCAGGGCCACTGTGCTCTGCATTGCTCACCTGTCTGTCCTGGATTATAGATGGGCTTATCCATCTGAATGAAGGTGCCTGTTCCAGCCCTGTGGATCAGGACTTTTTTATCTTCACTTGCACTGAAGTAGTGGCCATTGGAGATGTGCAGGTGCACAGTGGCCACCTCCTGGCTGCCTGCAGGTCGGGGCACCTGGGACAAAAAACAAGAGAGCCACTAGGTTAGCAGGCATCAGAGCAGTGCTCTTCTCACTTCAGCTGCACTGCAAGGCAGGCTCTTTGCCACCTTACTCTGGAGGCCAGCATAGGGTGTCCCCTCAGTGGCCAAAGGCTGTGTCTGTGGAAGCACGGGGAACAACACTCAGCAGCTGGGATAGATCTTGGACAAGAGAAAAAGGAGTCTGTTCTGACACAGAAATTTTGTTTACTACTTCACGTTCCACTGTTAAGAATCTGCATGGAGCAAGATGGAGAAGACTTAAGGAAAGAAAAGGTCTGTGGTGAGGAGAATTCTATTTCCTACAGTGTGAGGGCCACAGAGACCGAAATCCCCCCTTATTAACAGTGCAAACTAAGAAAATAAGGATCACGAGTCTGGCAAACAAGAAAGATTTATGCTGAGCTTGTGTGTACACCCTCTCATGTCTTCCCTTGTCTTCCAGGACATTTTCAAGCCCAGAAAGAAAAGCTTGGAAAGAAGCAGACATGAGGGAAGCTGTATGAGATGAGAGGTGTGACACTTTCTGCATCACAGATTCACAAACAACACGCTGTGACAATGCATCCTCCTCAGGGGAGAGAATGAGCTGCATGACTGCCATTTGGGTGCTTCTAAGCAATCCACCCTCCTCAGACCTTTGCTGCCAGGCCAGGCAGCCTTTCCTCAGTGTGCCAAAAGGATACCCCACAGGAAGAACGCCATTGCAGACAGACAAAGACAATGAGCAAAGCCACCGGGCTGCCACTGATCCCTCCCCCTGATTTTGCATTCGCTCTTTTCCATGCCCTCTTATCTTCTGTCTTCCTCATTGTCTCTTTCTTTGGTGAGAGGCAAATGAGCACTCTGTGAGCTGCCATCTAGGGGTCCCTGCCAAGAACGACTCTGACCTGAAATCTGGTGCACTCGAAGATCCAGTCGTTCCGGACAACCTTGCGGTAGAGGCTGAGGTTGCCAGATGGGTGCACAAGGGTTAAGGCCACACGAATAGGCTTTTCAACCCCACGAAGGTCCAAGCATGCCCTCTGGGATGAGGGGTAGGGCAGGGCAGCTGGAATGATGATCAGGTACCTCCTGCAGTGAGGGAATAAGACATCATCATATCCCGGGAGCCCTCTCACCCCCTCTTGGCACTAAAAGGCTGGCCTGAGGAAACAGGAGAGCTCGTCATCTCTCTGAGGCTAGGAGGTGCTGCTCTGCTGGAGAGACTGGGACAGATTGCCAGAGTGAGAACCTTGCACAGAGTGGGTGGAAGGTATAGAGTTCATTTCAGACAAATACAAGACATACTTTCAGGTGACAGAACAGAATTTGCCCTTCTTGCTTTGACATGGCTCCTCAACTACCCTGACAGCAGATTGCCTCCTGCTTATCCATCCCCTGCCTTGCAGCCCTTTCCATTTGCCCTTCACTGTATCCTACACCTTTCCCTTCATCCCACCTCATACTGCCCTCTCTCACTCTTGTTCCCACCACTAGTGCTCACCTAGTTCTTGTACTGCAATGATATCCTTGAGAGAGATTCCCACTTTCAGGAGGACCCTGCATTCACAACAAGGCTCTGCACCCCACCCTCTTTCCACGAGGTGACTCACAGGGTCCCACACTCTCTCCCTGCTATCTTGGCCCCTCCCTCAGCATTCTTATCAATCATTAGATTTTTAAGTGGCACTTACGGTTGTGCCACTATCCCCAGGGTGCAGAGCAGGCAGCTCAGGAGGAAGGGAGTCCACATTTTCATGGGAGAACCCCAGAGGGGTGGATTCCTTGAGAGGGCTGCTCAGGAGTAGGGTGCTGCTCCTCTCCTTCCAAAGTCTCCAGGACACCTGCAGCTGTTGCTGTTTCTCCCAGGAAGCAGACACAAAGTCCCAAGGTTTCCTTCCCTCCACCTCTTTCCAGCATTTATAGTGCTGCAGGCACAGGGTTGTACTGTCCAGGACGTTCCCCAGCCAATCCAAGTCCTTTTGGACTCCGGCCTCACTGCTCTCTGACTCCCCTGTGGATGGACCAGTGTCATTCAGACAAATGTGCCTTTTATTTTGCCATCCAGCAGCCTGTTTCCTGGTCACTGTACTGCCCTTGCTCCCTGGGCTAGTTGCAGCCCGAGTCCCATTGTTTTGCCTCCAGCTGGATTGTCCCATGACCCCTTGGCATGTGCACCCAGCTGGAGCTCACTGTGAACTCTTGTGGTCACACTGTCCCCAGGCTTTCTGAGTCTGTAGCACCCAAGGCAGGTCTCAGTCCTGAAATGGAGACCAGGCTTTGCACAAATTCATTATATTTGCATAGCTCACTGCTCCTTCACAGAGGAGGAAATCACAGGGAGCGAACAGAGCTGGAGTCCTCACCTTGCCTCTACTCTACAGATATTTCAGTTTGAAGAGAAAATTAAACAGCTACAACTCACCCCAGCTGTATCACATTGCTCTGTGCTCCAGTTCAAGGCCAACCTACTCACACCCTCACCAGTGGAGGAAATGAGGGCTAAACATTGGTCAGGCAGGTCAAAATCTGCATGGCTGAAGTCCTACAGGGTCTTGCCTAGCTACCAAAAGGCTGTGCTCAAGCCCTAGGTAATAGGAACACACACTGTCTGGTTTGGGGCCTTCTTTCCACGTGCTAATTTTATATATGTTAGTCCACTGATTGTACTGAACTTTTCCCTGAGTATCTTACCATAATTGAAAAGAGAATGTGGTTCTTGAAATTGCTCATTCTCAAAATAAGGAGTTTTTCAATTTTTGTATCAAGGTATTTTCATATCAAAATGTACCACTAACTTATTCTTCAGCACCAAACTGAGCTCTTAAACATGTAGGGCCTAGTAATATTTTCTCTTCTTTAGTACAGACTGATCATAACAAGGAAACTAGGTTTTGGGGCTTTCTTTTACCCACTCATGCACACACATGTAATGGGCAGATACAACTCCTCTCTCTCCCTTCCCTCTCCGTGCGCTTTGTTCAGGTCAGAGCTGCTGGTGCCAGCAGTTGGGAAAAATGCATAAATGCACCTGGACAAACAAGCAAACAGGAACCGGAGCAAGAATGTGGATCATTCTGACACTAAGCTGCCCTTCATTTCTTTCCATGGGTCTCAAAAAGTACAGGCAGTGCCTGTTGAACAATCCCAGCTGGCATTTGTTTGTTTACAGTAGATCCACAGCAGTTCCAGGGGACAGCCAGATCCCTCACAGCAGCACAGGGGCTCACAATGGCAAAGGTATTGAGAGTCCTGACTCCTACTGACTCTCTGTTTTGTGAGAGCAGACGTGCAAACACCTCTGAAGTTCTGGGCTTGGCACTGATTGGAAAGCTACCCCTGAGCACCCAATCCCAGTGAAACAGAATTAAATAAAAGTAGGAGCAACAACAACAAAGTGGAGGCAGGAGGCACCGGGGAAGGGAGCACCTCTTAGCAGGGCTCTGCACCCCCTAGCACTCAGTGACAGGGCACACAGTGCCTGGGTGATGTCCTGTGCTAAGACCTCTCCCCAGCCCACAGATCCATTCAGCAGCTGGCCCAGAGAGAGGCAAAAAGCACATCCATAGTGGATCTGTGTCCCTGGAAGCCAGCAGTTCTCAGTGCTGAAGCAGTGAGCTGATCACAAGCTAAATGGAAGGATGCACACCACCAAGCTCCAGCCTGAATCACCACAACCCCTCGATTTTGTGAAGGATTAAAAAAAAAAAAAAGACTGGGATGTTTGACATCTGCTGCTCTAAGCAGAGAAGGGGATGTTTAAGCCAGAGAGATAAATAATAAATAGATGCGTTTTGTAGAAAAGTGTTTTTTTCCCTGTCTAAATTCTCTTGGAAAACAGCCACCTCCTTCCAAATGCTCTCTAGTACCCACACATCACAAGTACAACTGTTTAAATCTCATAAAGAACATTTTAAAGGACACAGAAGAGTTGTTAAGAAAGTGGAATAGAAATTACAATGGATATTGAGTCAAAAGTGACACTGTGTAATTTTTAGCCAGAGCGTGTGTACACACAGGCATAGGAGTAGCAAGGGGTTGTGTGCGACCTCCTTGTCTGAGGGGCCTTTTCCGCTCAGCTTTGGAGTTCTTCATTCTCCAAACATCCCCCCCAAAAAAATCCAACTGGGAGCAACAACTTGGAGTGACTGGGAACATGCTGGGGGTGATTTGAAACATCTGGGCTTATATTGGGATCAGCTGGGATCATACTGGCAGTGAGTGCCACTACACTGAGGCTGACTGGGAGTGGTTGGGAGCAAATGGGACCATACTGTAAGGAATTGGGAGTGACTGGGAACATGCTGGAAGGAACTGGGGTACACTGGGAGATACTGGGGAGGACTTCAACAAAAGTGAGGGTGAAAGAGAGCAACTGGAACCATGTGGAGCATAACTGGTTCATACTGGCAGTGACTGTAGCACACTGGGCTCATATTTGGATCATACTGGGAGTGACTGGACTAATAGCATGAGCTACCCCTTGTGGTGTCAGCGAGGGGTAGGTTGGCTTTTTGTGTGTGTATAACCACCACACAAGTTGTATTCCCTATAAACCTCTGTGCTGGGCATTTTTCTCAGACCTCTGCTTTGCTAAGCTCTGCAAAACAGATTATAAGGACATGGTGGCATTGGCAATGGTAGGTGGAGTTCCTCCCTCTCAGCAAGACTCCAAGCTCTAGGCAGTGTACTCTCCAAATACCAGTAAAAGCTGTAGGCCTGACTGGCTCCAGTTCTGCTTTTTGATACCAGCAAGGACAGAGTTTGCCAGTGGTAAGGGCAAGAGAGAGAGAAGACATTTGCAAAGAAATCAGAAATATTTGCAAAGTCTTTTTAAAAAGTTTCAATGAAAGTAATTAAAAATTCTGTTCTGTAGTTGAGACCTGCTTTGCTCACAGACTACTGAGGAAATTGAATAAAGAGAGGAGGAAAAACACCTGATTAAACAAAGATGCAACATCAGCTCAGCCACTTCTGGTGCTGCAGAAGGTATTGCTACCATCCAGCTGCTGATGCTTTCATTCTAGCCCTCTTAAACTGCACATGAAGCACAGAGCAGGCTGTCAGCAGCTTGCCTTGCTGGCACATAGCCTCGGTGTGCTCACTCTCAAACAAAAAAAACTCAAAATGCTCATGTCTTTGTCTCACAGACAGGATTTGCTGAGTCTTCAGGATACTCTGGAGCATCATAGTTAAAATTTAAACACACTTTCCAAATCCCTCCCATTAAACCACCACAAATCCTAGCCTTGCTGCAGGATAAGGAGAGCTTTCAGGGCTGTCACCAAATCCTGACCCTCAACCCTCACCTGTCTTTCAGGCCTTCCACTCTTAAGCCTGCCTTTCACTTAGCCATCACACTCTTACAGCCAGCTCTAGGGAGGGTCTGTGGAGATCTACCTGTTTATACAGAGACTTGACACTGTCAACCTAAAAGATCTGTGATCACCAGCACTTAAATTGTGAGGTTTGCTTTTAAAAAGTGGTGATAGATGTTGAATTTTCACATACTCTTTGGCTGCTGAATTGCCTGTCCAGCTCTTTGTAATGTGGCAAAGACCCTGCTCACTTTCCTCGTTCATGAGCAGGGCGTTCAGCCCCAGGGCACCACCCCTTCCTGACAACTCATGTTTGACTTGTCCTGCACAAGATCCAGCTCCACAGGAGGTACAGAAACTGAAATCACTTCCTTTCTGCTTTCTATGCCAGAAGGACAGAGTCAGTCTGTGAGATACACAGCAGGGTAGATTTACATCCACACAAAGTGTACCAGCAGCCAAAACCTTATGGCTCAGCTACATCTGTGTGCAGGAGATGATGCCCAGTGGAATCAGTCTCCATGCAGGACTAGAGTCCTGACCCCATACTGATGGCTGCACAACACTGCTGGAGGAAATGAATGCCAGTGACACAGCTGAGATAAAGAGTTTGCTTCTGTTCACTCTTCCCAGGTAAACACTGTCACAGAGTCCAAACACACATCACAGTAGACAGATTTATGATTTGTATTTTATTTTTATTCTTTTTGCAAGCAAGAAAATCCCTGGATTAAAACAATCAGAATTAATCAGACACCTCAAAAATTTTCACCAGGTAATGGCTGTCAGAATGAGCAGCATAGGTAAGGCTGGAGTTAGTCCTGAAATCGAACCTGAGATGTGTCCCAGCACCAAAATCCCAAGCATGAGATGTGACTTTCTAGGCGTCTCATTATACCAGGAGCAATAATGCAGCAGCCCCACTGTCCTAAGGCATCTTGGACTAGTGGGATCCCTGTGAGCTGAAGCAGTGGGCAGTAAGGAAGGAGTCCAAGTCCCTGGAGAAATGAGAGCAGAAGAGAGAATAAGCCAGAGAGCAAATAATATGACCCAAATTATTAACTTTGGCATGCTAACAGTTAGGGAGCACAGGCTCTCACTAAGGACTCTAAAGGAAAGAGTTTTTTTGTTTGATCCACTATCTTTGTTTTACTTCAGCTCCTCCCCAGAAAGAGAAACTCTCCATACCCAAATATAATAAGTTGAAATTAGTACAATGAATTCTGCTTAGAGAGTTTCAGATACAGTCCAGATGAAGGGAACATGCTGAATCAGAGATACACAGGGCTCCAATGGGACACAGAGAAGTGGATGGGGTGCAGAAGAAGGTCTGTACAGAGGGCTGAGGAGGGGATTTGCACCTACCTCAGATGCAGAAGACATTATAGTCAGCCAGGGCCTGCTCCTCTGCAACAGACCAGGAGAGATCTAAGTT